AGAAAAGGATACAAGTTAAAAGGCTTAGAGGCAGTCAGCCAACACAACAATCCTAGCTGTAAGATAGAGAATAAAAAGTTGCCATTATTAACCCCAAACTATAGAAATTGTAGCTCTAAACTCCTGATGCATCCTCTAACCCAGTGTTTCTCAACGTTGGCAACTTTAAGATGCGTGGACTTCAACTCCCAGAATTCCCCAGCCAGCTGCTGGCTGGGGAATTCTGGGAATTGAAGTCCACGCATCTTAAAGTTGCCAACGTTGAGAAACACTGGGTTAGAGGATGCATCAGGAGTTTAGAGCTACAATTTCTATAGTTTGGGGTTAATAATGGCAACTTTTTATTCTCTATCTTACAGCTAGGATTGTTGTGTTGGCTGACTGCCTCTAAGCCTTTTAACTTGTATCCTTTTCTCTTTGGCTAACTTTTGCCCGCCTCCTATCTTTTACCTGGTATTTGGGTACATTGTTTTTATAGTCGTCGTCTTAATATTAATTTCAACTCTGGCCGTTCTTCAGCCAGGTTCTTGTGGCTGCAACAGTTTCAATGTATTCTTATGTTCTCTGACGCAGATCTTTTGGGGGGGGGTGTGTGTGTGTGTGTTCCTACAAGTGTTGACTCCTGGCGACTGCCTGGACAAGTCCCTGCGGTTTTCTTGGCAAGATTTCAGAAGTGCTTTGCCCTGCCTCCTCCTTCCCGGGGCCGAGAGAGAGGGACCTGCCCAAGGTCACCCAGCTGGCTTTGTGACTTAGGTGGGAGTAATGCTCACGGTTTCTAGCCTGGCGCCTTAACCACTGGACCAAACTGGCTCACTCTGCAGATCTAGGGCTGGAACAAAGACCTGATAAGATAACTTTAAGCCAATTCTCTCTCAAACCAATTATGGAGTGCTTTACCTGAACTTAATTTCCCCCGATATTTCCCGGTAATACTCCAGATATTTTCCTTCTGATCTTCCAGCCTAAACACCAGGTGTTGTTTCCCAAAGGTGCAGAAAGCTGCTTCTCCGTGTGTCTTTCCCAGCCACACTCTGCCTGCCATCTGTTAATTGACAGCTGCTTCTCTTTGCTTTGTTCTTCCTTCCGCTGATGGATTCCTTCCCAGTGCGCTCTTATGCTCATTCCAAGGCATGGCTGGAGCAGACCTCAGAGCATGGCTTCTTTAGGAGGGCATTTCATCCCAGATGTATACAGATTAGAATGTGGTGTCGCTCTGCTTTCTTAAGCATACGGTATGGTAAAGCCCCACTGAAGCCCCACAGAGATTGATTTCTGAGGAAACACGTAGGACCTTGCGGTAACACGAAAAAAGGTGGGTGTGATATTTTCTAGAATACTTTCATCTTTGGTGGCCAGGGTAATCCCGCCTCCGTGCTTCCTGACAGACTCCTGGTTTTTCCTGGTTAGAAGAATGCTTTTATTGCAAGAAGTCCCAAGAAGCTGGCGTGATGTCAAGCAAGTCTTAGCACCCAGCAGCGTCTTTGTTTTCAAAGAATGCTTCTGGGCTCCCAATGGACCTTTGTTAGAAAATGTGCTTTCTTCAAAGTGTGCCTCTTCCTGCTGACCAGCAGAAGGCAAGGATGTCTGACAGCATTGCGATACACCAGCATAGTGATACACCAGGGCTTGGTAGCCGATGAGATCCCTCAGAGTAACCATTTTGTGAGAGCCCATAACTGGACTCCCCAGGTTAGACTACGTTATTCTCATTTGGAGTTGGATGGAAGGGGAAGTTCCTGAGAGATGGGACAACTGAAGCGGAGGAGATGTTTGGTTCTTTCTTAGTAAAGAAAGGTGCTCTGATGGAATTAAATTCATAATGCAAATATGTAAACCTTTTAGGCAAAACTTCTAGCTGAACCTCACAACAGAAGTGAGATCCAGATATTCTGAATTACTATGTATTCTTTTCAAGCCATAACACGGAATTCTGGCCACACTCGATCCTTAGTATTTTCTCTATGCATACAAATACTTGCTTATAGTGAATATGTATGACTGACAGAGGCCTTACCTTTTAAGGCAACTTGCCAAGGTAAATCTCAATGTACTGACAGAAATTTGCATAGGTATTTAGCTATTTAGAATTTTTAAATAAGAACCTTAATTGTATTTCAAGAGTACATTGTTGTTTTCCCTACTTAGGTATCTTATTAAAACTCAAAAGTAAGTATTTAAATTAGATGTTTAGTTTGTTTATAATACATCTCTTAGGTTGTTTTAAAAATATTGTGTCTTGCAATTCTGTTTACTATATTAATCAAAATTCAATGGAGACTGTCAGAATCAGTGTATAGAAAAGGAAGGGAAAAAATCATATTTCAATTTTCCTGCATGCCTGTTGGTTATTTATCCTCTGGCTTAATTACTGCATATTAAGGCCATGTTGAGATGGCTTTCTAGATATCTTGGTGTGTCAGACCCCCACCCAAGTTAACACCCTAAAAAAAAATTCCAAAATCCAAATTAGGACACTTAAACCTATTCTACCATAATATATAAATGTCTGTACTTTCAAACACTTTGAAATCAGCAACATAGTAAAGAAGAGAAAAATGGAGGGACCTGGGTCTAAGATGAACTCTGGTGAAATAAGCATGCATGCCTTGTCTTGTCAAGAGAAGCTCACACGCCTTAGCTTTTGAACATCCTGTGCGTTCATTCATAGATTGCACACTTATCACCAGCAATTAAATAAATAAATAAGTAAATTAAATAAGTAATTAAACCAGTAATAAAATCGCCACCCAGAGTCACTTGTCCGAGATGGGCAGCTATAGAAATTTAATAAATAAACAAATAAGGATTGACAGTGGAGGATAGATTGCACATTAATTCATCAAGTGTTGAATGTACATGCATGTGCTTGCCAGGATTAATTTGGAAATGAATGGACTTGCTCAGCTTTTTCATCTTTTTCAGTTCTTTTTCATCTTTTTCAACTATAAACTATTGCTTATAACCATGATGAACCAAAGAACCAAACCAGTCTCATTATGGTTTAGCATGATGTATAAACCAGCTCTTGCGCCCAATGGAATTTAATCCAGCTTCTGAGTTTAATATGCCCTTCTGCAAAAAATATTAGGAAATGGAAGAAGGAATACTCAAGTGACAAATTGGGGCTCTGATGGCTCAAGTCGCTTGAATTTGTAGTTGGGAACAAGGAAATAAGCAAAGTCATGACTCAAGAAACGTGTGCATTGCCAAATTAAAGATAAAAAATTTGTGTGATTACAGATAAAGGTTTACTAAAGACTGATGCTGTACATTCATATATTTCTTTAGTTTTTGTGAAAAGTGGCTAAATATTGTGACCAGAACATTGCTGCTCTTCCTTTTTCATGACAGACTGAGTTTATTTGGGGAATCCTACAGCCACACGCTCGTCTTGCTGGTTCTCATAAATACATATGAGTCTCTAATTCCTATTGCTGGATAAAGTATTATCTGAGGGACCGCCTCTCCCCAATTACTTCTATTTGTTCCATCAGGTCTGGCAGGAGAGGCACGTTGCAGGTCACGTCTGTGAAGGAGTTCCATTAACCTACGGGATGAGCCTTTTCTGCCATGGCACCCACTCTTTGCAACATCATCCACCCTGAGGTGAGGTTAGCCCCAACCCTAGTGACCTTCCAAGAAATCCCTCAAAGCATGTTCTTTTCAACACGCTTGAGGATCCCTGGTAACAGGGAGCCCACACGCTGGTTGTATCATGTGTGAGACTCTGATGCATTCCCTCTTGTAATCTTGTTTCTGTTTAATGGTTTTTGAATGGTTTTTGAAGCATGTTTTAATTGTTGGCTTTATCGTACGTTCGCCCAGAGCCACATTTGTGAGGTGGGTGGCCATATAAATAAATAAATACACACCCACATACTTTCATGCATACATACAGTACATACAAAAATTGTTACAAGACCAGATGTAGAACAAAGCCCATTTTGGAGTAGTTTGTGGCAGTGATAGGTGCAAAGGAGAAGTAACTTCTACCATCATTGGGGTTATCTGAATCACTGCCACTGGAAACATTTTGTTGATAAAATCACTTGTATCTAATTAGAATTGCTTGGTATATTTGATATAGTGCAATGAGGAGATGTCGGTAGACAGCTAGTTGGTTTCAATTCCCTGGTTCCTTCTAGTTCTTCCATCTCAAAGCTTTGACAACATACTCAGGTAAGGACATCTTTCAGAAAATTGCATAATCCTTCCTGGTTGATAACATTTAATGGAAGAGAATAGATTGGCTAGCACTAAAGAAGGCTTCCTCTGCTGGGATCCCCCAGAGGTGCTGGGGTTCCAAACATCTGGAGGATGCCAGTTTGAAAAGGTTACGCTGGAGAGTGATGCCTCATTGTGAGAAGGGTGAACAAAGCAAACAAGGGCGCTGAGTCACCACAACCAGTGTTTAGAGGGTACCACTTTTATTTAGCATTTCTCCACTTTTCCTTTCCTTTTCTTGTAGCCAACAAATGCCAGCTGCTGGGCTCCTCTCTGTTGTGTCCAACAGTTGGTCCTGTTATGCTGCTGCCACACCTTTTCTCTATTGCACTACTGCAGCCTTGTGCAAAATGGGCAAAGCTAGGGCTACCAGCTGAAATGCTCTACCACCACTTGTGGAAATCCAACAGACAACCAAGTTTCCAAGTTCATCTTTATTATAGCCGAAGGCCAACCGTATTAACCATATTAACTCTTCACAAAGAGCATACAACTCCTGACCACTAGTTCATACGTTCCTATTAAACATTTTAAGATATACTTGACTAATACGCCCTGAACAATGACAGCTTGAGTAGTTGTTACCTCTTTTCTAACGTTGCAATGAAGATCAATTCAGCAGTGGCAGCTCTTCAAGGAAACCACAACAGAACAGGGGAAGATGAAGGCAAAGTCATGAAAACAAGGCAGAAGAAGACATTGTGAAGGCTGTTGCTTCCGTTGTGATTGGGTGCAAGTGGGAAAGCTGCCTATCCTTGTATGTTTTATGGGTGCACCTCCTAAGAGTAGTGCACGATACACTGTACGCCTATGCACTCTGCCACAAATTATGCTCTCCCAATTGGGGGTTTATATACTGCTAGTTTTATTGGAGTAACTGTTTAAGATGGTGTAATTGAAGAGTTTGCTTGATTCACTTGAAGCAATATATTTTATAATTATCATTGAATATAAAGCAAAGTTCATATATTGAGTCGTTAGAGGTACTTTTAATGTGTGCTCCGGTCTAGTGGAGGGAGACTCAACAAAATGGAGATTCTTTACGTTTTACTATTTTAAAACTTTGTAATTTCCTAAAAATGACTTAGGCAATGTGATGTATGTAAACAGCAGAGAAAGTTTCTGCTCATTGAATAGTTTAAATTCTTACGAGAAATTCCAAGGTATTTCTCTTTATGGGAAATAATGAATACATTAATTTAATTTAATTGTTAATAATTAAACAAATTAATCTGATGTATTAACTGGGCCAGAATTGGGGGGGGAGGGGTCTGTTTCCAACATAGAACATTTTCCAAGTTCAAAATTTTCCAGTTCAGACAGGTTTGGCAGTTTCAGAGTTGTGTCATGTTTTTCAGGTGGTGGTTCTAAAAATTGAGATACTAAAATTACACAGCAGTTAGACATGATTTCATTGCCTATTTTCAACATTCCTGTGGAAATAAATTTTCTCCAAACATCAAAGCTTCTCTGAAGGAACTGTTAAGATCTTGTAAATTGGGCTAGATTTTTTTCCCCACGTAAATAGCTTGTGCAAGCTATGGATATTGAGTTGAATAGGATAACTGAAATGATATTCCTTTGCATAAGAAACCTTTCTGCTTCCATTTTTTCCCCAGAAAATCCACATCGCTGTTATCAAGCAATTTATTTGCCAAGAGTTACTCATGATACATTTCAAATAAGTTACATAGATGTGTTTGAAGATGAATTACATTCATAGAAACCAGCACAATAGATCAGTGGAAAACATTCCTTTAATGAAGAATCAAACCATTTTGAACTTGGGAAAAAAGAAAGATACAGGTAAAGTTATAATTAGAAAAGTGCATTCTATTTCCAGGAAATTTGCAATCTATAATACATGATTAAACCATGATTATAATACATGGTTCTATTTTGTAGATTTTTAAAGACTTTGAAAAGTCATATTGAAAGAGACGTACACCAGAGGGAGCTACAGGCTCCCAAAAGTCAGAACAGCTCTTTAAAAACAAAACATTCTGCTTTACTTCAGTATCAATCTGTACAAAATTGTCTCACCTTCGAGTAGACAGAGTGGTCACGCTCTGGTTTGTTTCAAATAAAGGCTTGTTGGAAAAGCCATTATGGGGTTTACAAATCATGCTGTGCCATTAACCATGATTTAAGAAGCAGAACGGCTAAATTTGCACTAAGCCACAGTCAAGCAAGTGGCATTATAGCTAGTGCAGAGCTGCATTGCTCCAAACTGTGATTTTTAATGATTTAATTTAATTTTTAACCCGAGGACCTCGCCATGTATTTAATAATCCAGGTTTGTTATTATGGGAAAAATAGGAAGGGGGACCACCATATACACTGCATTGAGTTCCTGAATAAATGCAAGCTATAAATATAATAAATATTAATTGTATTCTGTCCTGATTTTAGCCACATACTTACCTTGGCCACACCATCCATTATTATGTGGCATCATGTGGTACCGTATGTGGCTTTGTCCCTGTAGCGGTTGACTGAGAGGGGCAGGGGCGTGCTGGTACCCTGGTTCTTGGGAAAGGACTGAGAGCTGGAAGGGGGGATTGGTTGGAGATATCAAGCCCTCCTTCCCCAAACAAGGTCTGCTGTCCACCTCCAATTGCCTGTCATGACCATGTTCTCATTTCCTCAGATCACCTCCCCCATCTTGCCCTGTGACACCAACCTGACCAGGGAAGTTCTCCGCCATCTAGCACCCAAACATAATCAGCCAGATGACTTTTGAGCTAGCACCACTTCAACCCATTCTACTCATCTATCCATGACTGATGGGACGTCACAAGCAATAACAGGAACCCTCACCCAGGGTATGGCCTTCCAGGAACCCACTCAAATGCCATTCCTGAAGATGGCCTCTCAGTGTTCTTCGGCAAGCACAAGGGAGCCATCACTGGTGGAATCCAAAAAACCTTGCTGGCCCAAACCACGCTCTCACAAACCCATAAAAGCTCCATGCAGCATGGAGTCAGTCTGCTTCAAAACAACTTCCAGAATAGTCTCGGTGTTGATATAATGGGATGCAAGAATAACCTTGAGGAACAGGAGGAAGAGCTGCAGCCAAGGCAATGGTCAGAGAAGAGAAATCTGAGCCCAATGGAGGAATGGAAGCTGAGAAAGTGGCTCATACTGGACTCTCCCAAGTTCTCCTTAGGATGAAGGCAGGGAGTGTGGGAGGCACATTCAGACCTACAAGATCCAGTTACTGAAAGTAGTTTTAGTATTCATGGCTTTGGTGTTCAAATCTGGTCTACCTTAAAGGGCTGGCAGGCAAGAGCTTCACAGAGTGGAGAATTCACACCCCAAAGTATGTCAAAATTACTGCTTTCCCCCAGCATACCACATTGTGCTGGGTGATTACAGATGCTGTAATATCACAACTTCTATAATACAATTCATGCCCCAGTAGTATTACAGACCATTAATAATTGCTTGATTAAAGTAACTTCCACATCTACAAATTGCAGAAATCTAGTAGATTGGAAGATGTCTTGTTGGGTGCATTTTGGCTCTTTTGGGATGAGGTTAGCTTTAATCCGCAGTTGTATATTCATGTATTAACTGACATTTCTTAACAAATGTTATTCATTTATTAGCATTTATGCATTTTAGCAGAATTGGGCAGCATTTGTTTTAGACACCCCCACCAGGACAAGTAATTGTAATCCTATACAAAGATGTTTGTTGCTGACCAAAACACTTATCTATGTTTCGTTTCAATTATTACTTTAGAAAAATGGGAAGTACAGTGGTACCTCTACTTACGAACTTAATCCGTTCCGTGACTCTGA